AGTCAAATTGCTTGTTGAGAAAGGCCACTTGGTGTGGACACACCTGACTGCCTGGGAATTGTTTCAGAAAGTGGGCACAGAGCAGTAGTGTGCCAGGGACCTTCTTACAGTGCAAGATGATGGGCACCTGACCTAGAGAGGTGATGGAGCTGGTCACCCATGCAGAAGACAGCCTGGCTGGGAGATGTATGGCTGGATGAGCCTCCTTTTCAGTGACTAAGACTCAGGAGGTTTGCAAAAGCCAGAATAAATCATCCCACATGTCCCATATCCTCCCTCTGCCAATAACGAGACTTGACTCATATGAGGAAGGCGGTTCATTCTGGATTTTCCTTCTGGGAAATCCCTTCCCTGCTTCCTACAATTAGCAGCTTGTTAATGCCTTGCGTCCCAAGGATTTATGTACTTTTCTCTTTCACAATAGCAGACAGTGCCATTATCTTCTGACATCCCATTGACTTCGTCCACAAATTGATGCTGGCCATTGTCCCATGGCTATGGATCCCCCAGATGACTCAGGTAAATACTTCTTTGTTATTTCAGTCCGTGGCTCTGCACATCCTTTGCAGCTGCAATAGCTCTTGGAGTACCAGAGCGGAAAATCATAGAATCATAGAATCATAGAATCATAGAATGGTTAGGGTTGGAAGGGACCTTAAAGATGATCTAGTTTCAACCCCCCTGCCATGGGCAGGGACACCCTCCACTACACCAGCTTGCCCAAAGCCCCATCCAACCTGGCCTGGAACACTTCCAGGGATGAGGCATCCACAACTTCTCTGGGCAACCTGGTCCAGTGCCTCACCACCCTCAATGTGAAAAATTTCTTCCTTATATCCAATCGAAATCTCCCCTCTTTCAGTTTAAAGCCATTGCCCCTTGTCCTATCACTACACGCCCTTGTAAAAAGTCCCTCTCCAGCTTTCCTGTAGGCCCCCTTTAGGCACTGGAAAGCTGCTATAAGATCACCCTGGAGCCTTCTCTTCTCCAGGCTGAAGAGCCCCAACTCTCTCAGCCTGTCTTCATAGCAGAGGTGCTCCAGCCCTCGGGTCATCTTCGTGGCCCTCCTCTGGACCCACTTTAGTAGCTCCATGTCCTTCGTATGTTGGGGACTCCAGAGCTGAACACAGTATGCTAGGTGGGGTCTCACGAGAGCTGAGTAGAGGGGCAGAAAATGGGGCTCTTGGCCAGCCTCCCTCCCCTTTTAGTCCTCCACCCACTGCTGCCCTGATTTCATAGCTCCTTGACTTCATAAGTCTAGTCTGTCTTGGCACTCCCACTTGGGGCTCTCCCAGACCTGACTGTACACTCTGCTGAGACCAGTCTTGTCTTCTTTAGTTGCATATTGCTAGGAAGCACATGTGCCACAGTAGTCTTCTCCATTATGTTTTCTACCTTATTTTTCAGATCTCTTCACATACGTGTTGCTGGGAAGTCTTATCTGAGAGTTTCTTTCAGGCAGCTTTGTATTGTACTTTCTCTGTTGCCTTTGCCAAACACTGCACGGGATCTCCCAATGCAAGGTGGCAACACCCAGGTTTATATCCATAAAATACTTTGCCTCGCTGGAGAAGGCAAACTATATAATTTAGAACCTATACCTATACAGAGGGGCTATAACTATGTAGGAGAGATGTTCAAACTATAGATTCTGCCTTGCACACGTACACCTCATTGGTATCAGCAACAGAGAGGGCTTGAAATGGTTTTCCACATACTGGAAGCATGCATTGTTGCCACATTTGTTACACCAGTAAAGGTGGGCAAAACGTGATGCCAGAGGTTGCACTAAAGCTGCTCGTTCATCAGACGTGAAGCAAATCTTCTGCATGTGATGAGTGGAGAAAACCACTCCGGTTTCAACAGGGAATCCCAGAGATGGAGAAAGATCAGTAGATGAAGAAGGGAAATTCCTGTTATAACAGAATAAAGGACTCTGTGGGTATCCTCACGACCTCAACAAATTTTCAGGAAACACCAGTCACCCTACTCTCCAGGACTTCTAGTCCTGTGCTGAGAGCACCTCAGGAAGAGAGCAGTCAGTCCCATGCCTTTCCCTAGCTCCCCTGCTCTTGTTTTCCTTTGTCTTTTCCCCACACTTGCCTCCTCCCCATGTCTCACTGACTGTATTTCACCTGGGGGTGGAAGTGAGTGTGTGTCCACAAGTGTGTGCTCACCTCCATCATCAAGATACCCAGAGGGGAAACGCGAGCTCTGATGTTTACTTTCTCCACTCTCCCTGGTCTGCTAGGCAACCTCACAGGACCTTTAAGATAAACATCTCTTCTACCTTGCGACAGGATCTGTGTCCCAGGCTGTGGCATCGGGAATGGATCAAGGAGAAACTTGGAGAACAAAGCTTGAGAACCTGCCTGTGGGAGATGGGGACCTTCAAGGGGTGCCGCTATGGCTGGGGATAGAGACTGGCAATTTCAGAATTGGGTTGGTTGACCAAGACACCATGGTGACACCTTTTCCACTTCATCTCAATGGTTATTGCCCACCATGGTGCTCCAGGTACCTGAATGTGCAGTCCTGCCCATCATCCCAAGGTTGCTACAGCTATGGGAAGGCATATGAATGACTATATGCACATGTAGCAGGGAAGGTGAGCACTGCTTTTGTCTTGTAAGGTAGCTAACAAGGTGCAAGGTCCCAAGGTCTCTAGGTCACAAGCAAGTTCCACTTCAATCCACTGTGATTGCTCTTCACAGGTCTTCTTGGGGTATGTGCCTTCCAGAATTTGTCATAAGCCAGAGCCCCTCAAGCTTTGGAGATACAGTTGCCACCTCTATTCTTCTCTGCCATGACAGCTCTCAGCATGTAGCATCATCACATAGCAATGACTAAGACTGAACATTGGCCGGACATGCAACACGCCCACCTGCAGTGGCTGTTGGGTGCAGAAATACATGACTAAGCGATACAAGTAACACACTCACACTTGATTCAGAAATAAGTATATTTTAGGTGTTATGCAGATAGCACGTACACATATATTTTCTTATCTGGTAGCACTACAGCAACACAATAACAGTGATGAAGAAGCTATCATACAGCAAAGATCCGCCATCAGCTCCAAGGATGCTGTGTGCCCGACACACCACATCACTCCCAGTTACAATTGCTGTCATAAGAGGGGTGCTCCAAGACTTTCTGTGGTCATGGGATTCCTCTTTGCTCTTCACAGACTGTTTTTCAGAAAGGTCCAGAGCACGCCGGCTGCAATCCCTGCTGCCATGCCGTAGCTGCATCTCACACTGCCCGCTGCATTGGCATTGCAGAGGTTGCTGCTGCAGCAGGAGATATTCCTGTTGCCTACGCTGAAGTCCTGGTAGAGTGATGTGCATGACGAGTCACAGCCCTTGCTGATGAGGCTGAAGAGCCCTACGACCCCTGGAAGGAAAGCAGGACCATTACTACAAGGACTCAATGCAAGCCGAGCCAAGGCTCATGGAACTGAATAATGAGAAGCTATTCTTATCTGAGCTCACTTCTTGGAAAGAAAATGAATGTTTCCAAACAGCTGCACGTTTTGCCTTAGCAGGTTGTATTTTTGGGGTGTCAGTTTGTTTGCAGAGGTGGGGAAGGGTTTCACTGCCCAAGGGTTTGTTGACGGCAGCGTATTCCACAGCACAATTCTCAGGGGGTTTTAAAAGAACGCCAATTACAGAAATTCTAATAATGTAATTAATAATGAAAGCAGCCATTAACATCAGTCGAGGAGTCTAAGCTACTAACAGATAAGGAGCAAGCATGTGGGGTAATCTTTGCTCATATCCCGTATGTCTTTGTTGTACGGAGCCTTTCAACAACCAAGGGAGTTAAGGAAGCGAGCCTATCCCTGTTTCACAGATGACAGTTATTTTTTGATTTGTTTCTGAGAGGCATAGACTGTTTTTCTATAGTTCATAGACTAGTTTCCAGCAGATTATGGTCTGCATGACATCTCCTGATCTTGCACAATCTATTCCGGGCACCAAGTCTTTGGCATATGCCAATTTAGTGTATAGGACCAGTAGGTTATACGATGTGTTGGCTCTTCTGCATGTGACTACAAGGCCATGGCACCTTTCCAACAAGGACAATGCCTGCTGAAAGTATTACATTTATTGCCTGACAGAGACAAGTTTGAACATGCCACTGATGGGTTTTGTGCCACAGGTCTAAGTGCAACTGAGCGGTCACCACAATGTTTGGACAGAGCAAACATTTTTTTTTGCCGGATCTAGAATTAAATCATAATCTGTTAAAGGAGTTTACACAGAGACACAGAGATGGCTGCATTCAGAGCTGGCTGTAGATGGACGTAGGTGAAATTCTACCCTTTTCTTTGAATTCACCTAAAGTCAGCTCTGCTGTTGAATGTTCCTCATAGCTTCAATGACTAGGTTTCACCAGACTCAGCCTCTCACATTTTAATACAAGTTCCAAACTTTTCAAAGCCATAAACTTAAGTATTGCACCTGTAAGCAAACCACTTCTGGTGTTATGAAAGAGAAAAAAACCTAATTTTGTACAGGTGAGAGACATGGGTAGGTGTTTGCAGCGTCAAGTGTTTAACAGCTAGTGTCTTGTTGAGCAGCTGCACCCTCCTGAGATTTGTTTCAGACACTGGCACTGCACTGGTCGTACTGCTCAATTTTTAGCATGTTAGAAAGTATTTCTTCTCTGAAAGGGTTGTCAGCCACTGGAATAGGCTGCCCAGGGAGGTGGTCGAGTCCCCATCCCTGGATGTGTTTAAGAAAAGGGTGGATGAACTACTTAGGGATATAGTTTAATGGGGATTAGGGACGGTTAGACTGGATGATCTGTAAAGGCTTTTCCAACCTAGAAATCTATGAATCTATGAATCTATTGGCAAACACAGAGGAATTTATGGGGTACAGCATGCACATGATAGTTTGACTTTGTCGTCACTCTCTTGTGGCCAGCATGGAGAGAGGACTTGGTGATGGTCAGCACTTCTGCCAAGGGACCAGTTCTCACCAAGGGATAAACATTTTTCTTCTGTCATTTCTACTTAACATGAAAGTCATCTGAAAGCTTTTTTAACACTTTTTCTACCCAGATGGCTTTCTCTTCCTGCTGCACATTAAGCTTTGCTGGCCCACACCAGCTGGTTTATCTAGAGTAGGTGGGGCTGTCTTGGACACCTGAGGCTGAGACCACACTTGCCTCCAATGCCACAACTAAGACATTGCCCACTCCCACTTTGTCTTACTGATCACATCTGTCTTGCATGTGTCCTCATCCTTGCAGTCCACTTCCGTCTTACATTTGGAGTTACTGAGCTGTGATGTGCAGCTGTAACACTTCAAAGAATAACCTGCAAGAGATCAAGAAGGGTTGTAAGACAAATCCATCCAAAGCTCTCCAGGAAACCCAACTTGGTGCTTGCGCTGGGAAACAGGATCATTCCTGTGGGTCCTCAAAAAAAGATAGCACTTCTCTTATTGGGAAAACAACTTTTTTTCAATTTTTGGTGGAGAATAGCACACTCGTTTTGGGGTGAGAGTCAAGCTTTGCAGGTACTGAAGCTGTTTCAGATCTAGTCAGTGCAGTGAGGGAGCAAAAGGAGACTAGCTGGGTAGCTGGTCCCATTGACTGGTCTCATCAGTCAATAGGAAGTGCTTCCCAAATGCCTCTTCCTCTGCATTTGGGATGCCTAAACCAGTTGCTGTCTGGAATAGGTTTTTTGTGAAATTCCCACCTCCTGAGCTGGGATGAAAGGATGAAGTTCCCAGAAGGAGAGGTTGATATTATTTGTCTGCCTCTATAGACATTACTGTTTTCCCAGGTGGGCTTGTGAGCTTTAGCTGAGGCATTGAGAGTGTTGGATGAAAGCGGGAAAGCCCAGTGGGAAGAAAGGGTGAGGGAGGGATGGAGGGGGAGATTTGCAAGGTCTCTTCTAGCCCGTTGCCTCAGTTTGACCAACTTGTGACATGTACTCTCCATCACTCCCCCTTAGAAAACAAAGTGCAAACAACATCTTTCGCCTCCCTCTGAAAACCAGGTCACCACGTGTTCCCACCCCCTCAAGAACATGCCAGTCTATGGGGGACGCAAGTCAATATTGTTAACATCTGCTGTGCTGTTATATGCATCAAGAAAAGGCAGAATAAGCATTGCAGCTTACAAGTGTCTAGTCCTGATGAAAAATACTCCCCAGAGGAGTGAGAACATGGTGCAATTACCTGTTCCTATTACCTGCTGGTGCCCCAAGGCATCACTGGAGCCTCTCGGACTTGCAAGTGTGCGAGTTGATGTATATATACATACCTTAATACCATGACCACCAGACTTGTACCATGAATCCCTCAAGTCAATACCCTAATGCCTAAAATCCTCTTTTAGGACACAGAAAAACCCCATTTAGAAACTAGTATTATTCAGCTCAGCAGCAAGAAGTGTTTCGAGGCACTTGGTTTCCCTCTGTCCAAGCCGTTCTCGCATAAATGACTATTGCAGTCATAGAGGCAAGGAGCCAAACCCCAGTTTATCTGCAGTGCTGCACTCTGCTCTCACATATATCTGACTTCTAATGCAATGAAAGTCAAATTTCAGAGCACCCTGATGACAGAGGAGAGGTTCTTGCCAGGACTGTACAAGACACTTCTCAGCCTATTCCTTAAGCATCTTACACTGATTGAGAAACGTTTCTACTCAGATCTGCTTCTTCTATTCTCTGGAAACAGGGAAAACCTGATTTAAAACCACCTTTTCCCAGTCAGCCCAAAAAAGAAAAAAAAATTGACAATGTCCAAATCCCACCCATCCAGTACAGAAAATAAGATGCAATATCCCTTTTTCTCTCCCATTAAAATTCTGACAATCCGTGTGGCATCAGAGGCCACTTTTGAAATGAAGAGTCAAAAAACAAGTTGGAACAAAACTTAACCTTTGCAGAAACCTTGGAATTCTGATAGCCTGGGAAAAAGAAAGATAATCCTGCTACCCGCCTTAAAAACACACACAGAGACACACAAAACTCTATGGTCTGGCTTAAATAAATTTGATTTCCATTGAATTCAGTTTTATATAGGATTTATTCCTAGAAGCTGTTCTACCCAACATTAGGATCACACCATCAGCAGGACGGGACTACACATTTTCCCCATGCAACACTCAGGACATCCAATCAAAAAGCAAATGTCTTCATATGACAACTCCGTTAGCATTTCTTCCCTCACTGCCAAACCCCATCACAAGTCTTTTCTCCTAGCTGAAGATCTACTGGAGGGGACGTGGGAAAGACTCCCCATGCTGTCTTACCTGAGTCAAAGCACAGGACTGCTCCCAGGAGGAGGACAAGGAAAGCCTTCATTTTGGGATAGCCTCTCTTGTGCTGAATATAAGTTATTTTCTCATGGGACAGTTTATATACCGTGGGAGGCAGCAGTCGAGCATGCCCAGAAGGTTACCTCTTGAAGGCACCTGAGCAAGGCTGCTTGCTGGACCAAGGGAGGGGTTGGTTTGTGGCGGAGATATTTGCTTTAGGTGCCTCTCCTATCTGACTGTGACTTTTGGAGCTACCAGCCTTTCCTCCTACCCTTGGGCAAAGTGTTCACACAAGTGGAAAAAAACCCCAAATTCTTCAGAACAAGGCTGGCCTTATGCATTTCCCTGGAGCCAGTGAGGCTGTGGTTGCACCCTGTGAACAAGGCTCTCCACCCCCGTTGTTATTCTGAGTGGAGCTATTGTGTTTAAATCAAGGATAAAACGTTCTTTTAATAAACATCTCCAGCTATTTATCTGCTTATGTGAGTGTCTCTGTGGCATGTGGTGGCAAGGTATTTGGGCAAATTACAGTGCATTGGCCTCTTGCAGGTGTCCAGGAGCTTGTTTGCCCTTGTTTGTATGCATTGTCTGTAGTCTCCTAAAAACCAATGGACAATTCAATTTCTTTTGTGCGTATTGAAAAAAACAAAGGGACTTTGTGATGGCTTTGTTTGGTCTTGTTTTCATCTGCCACATCTATACCGTGGCATGCTTCTCTTTGCCTGACAATCTGCCCATCTAGTATAGGTTGGGTACTGTTTTGACATTTGAAGTCACATGAGCATGTAGTGTAAAGAATTGAGGCTTTTTTAAAGAAATGCCACTTCTCATCACAGGAGGGGGTGAACTCAGCCACATTCCAAACTGACGTGTGAGTATTTGGTTTGGTGGGTTGATTGGAGACCTCTCCCACCCCTCACGTTCTTCAACCACTTCTCAGTACACGCCGGCGTGAAAGAAAACAGGCTTTTCTGTTAAATTCAATTTTCCATGGTTTCTCGCTTTATTTGGGGTTTTCCTGAAATCTCAGGAACTTGGTGCTTTGCAGTAATAGCCTTCAGGGGCTTGCTGTCATGCAGTTTAGCTCTTAGGACACGAGACACTTTTTCAAATTGAAAGGAAGGTGTGCTGGAGTGTTGGTGGATCATTGCTCTCTATCAGTGGCTGTGGGATGAGTGATAGAGGGTCAGGTGGACTAAGTCTGCTGAAGTTAATGGCGCTGCCCTGATTTACACCAGTGGAGAATCTGGTGCAGGGCATGATTTTGCAAATCCTACTTGCTCTGTGGGGATCTTAAGTGCTTCCCCTTGGACTCTTGAACTTCTGTTTAGAAAGAAGAAAAATATCAACCCCAGACCTTCTTTCTGTGTGTATTGACTTTTGCTTCATCATATATTTGCAGATCATCTCATTTATAGCCAACTTTTATGGAATAGCAGGATAAAAAATGTAGCAGTATCTTCTCAGGCTCCTGTGTTCCTTATTCAGAGATATTTAAGGATATTTTTCTTTTTTAATCCCTTATGATTGTCCCTGTAGCATTTAGTTCCTTGTGTGAGAGAAGTACAGGGCCAAGGGGAAAGCATAACCTGGTCACCCCATCAAATCCACCCAGGCCTTGAATTAAATATTTCTTCCATCAAGCAACTCATTGATAAACAAGAAGGAGAGCTCTTTTCATCCTCAGCATCCTGACTCGCTTCCAGTGAAACTCTTCTAGTACCATTATTTCTTTTTATCCCTTTTCTAACAGCATCAAGGCTGCCAGCGAAGACCAGGACTCACGGTGCTGTGAAAGAGATCCACCCAGTTAAGAGCCTATCCATGCCCCAGTCCTGCTTGGCTGCAGCCCGAGGCCCTGTGTGAACTTAGTCATTCCTCTATCCTTACATCGACTGTTGCTTCTCACTATTTTTTTTGGAACATTTGCGTGCAGTTCCTGCTTGCCTCCTGAAGATGGCAAACGTGCCCCATTATAATTATTACACGTGCATTAACATGCAGTTGTCCGTAGGTTTGCCTGTGCATGGTCTTTTTTTTTTGCTTCCTGATGTTATAAAATTCCCAGTTCATCTAACTGCATGAAAAAGACCATTTATTTTTTCCCCTGGGAATCTAAGGATGTCTACAAATCACTTGGATTTTTTTTTTTTTTATCTTTAATACTATTTCATGTTGTTACTGCAGATTCCTGACAGACCTGGATCTAGAGCCTTCTGTTGAGGAGGGAAGGAAAGAGGGCTTGATTACTTGCTCTGTCCTGGTTCACCTATCCAGTGTCAGGCTAGAAAAATGTTGGTGGGTCATGGTACAGTGCATGGTGTCATGGATCTGCATAATCGTGGTAGGCACAAGCTAGAAATTTGAGGTCAAGAAGGGCAATAGGTGAAACGGTGCCTGTGAAACCTGGACAGAGATACTGAGCTTCTCCAAAGACAAAAGGAAGTTGCTCTGATTTCCTTGGCTGTGGCAACCATTTGGCTAGGTGGTCTGAAGAGGCTGGAGAGGAGCCTACAAGACGACATATAATGTGTTAAGTCTTCAATCGCAGACTGCCTTTTTTCATGGGGTTGTCTTTTATGAGCACAAGAGAAAAAAAATACCCGGAACCCAGTAAAGAAAAAACTAAGATGATGTTCCACACACTCATCCAAGCTCCTGAATTAATGGTAGTCCTTGAAAGAGCTGGATCATCAGGGAATGCTGCAGAGTCTCCAGCCTCTGAGCTCAGAGGTGTAATACCTTCTTGAATGCCTTAATTTAAGTCAGAATTAAATGCAAGAACAAGAGGAGCTGCTGTCCAAGGCTGCCTGGCCCTGAAAAGAGGTCACTGTTTTGCTTGCTCAGCATGAGTGTGGCTTGTAACTCCTTTTCAGCATGTGCTGAAGTATGTGTGGGGAGGTTGCAACGGACTGCAGAGGGAATCTTACTGACTTTTCCACTACTGGAAGGTGTTTGGTACATGTGCAGTGGATGAGCTGGTGCTGCCTTCCGTGATGTCTGCAAATCTACTGAGGCTGTAGGGATGTGGGATGTATGATTAGGGATTTTATTGGCCAACTTTAGTCACTGAAGTGGGAATTTCTAACAGCTGCACAGCTGTATTCCCTGGGAACCCAAGCAGCCTCAGGAGCATTGAACTGTCCCAAGTCAGAACAGGTGGGGAATAAATGAGACTGAGTCACTAGATGGTAGTGAGGCAAAACACATTAGAGACTTGTCTGTAAGGAGGGAAACATGGATCCTAAATGAGGCATGTGATTCGATAGACAGGAAGACAGATGGATAGATAGGGGAGAGAAAGATTTAAAAATGAGTAGATATACAGATGTCCACAGAGATGGATGGATACCTAGCAGTCAGGAGGAGCTGGAGTAGCTAGTCCTGCGTACTTCCTTCTAACTGTGCTTGATTACGAGCATGCTTTCCTCTGCTTGTGACAAAACGTCACTCTACATCCCCTGTCTCAGTCTAAAGTATTTCTTACCAACCTCTCAGCTGTTTTCCACTCTCCTGTGAACATGTCTTGGGATGGACAGGCACGACGCTGGCCCAGCAGCAGGAAACATGAGGCCACCTTTCACTGCCAGCAAGATAGGATGCTACATCTGAAGATGCTTAACACTATTTCATGTCACGGTCTAGCGCATACTACAAGAATTTACTTCCAGGTTGCTGTTCAAGTAAGCCTCAGAGCACATGGAGGCAAGGCTAGGCTGCCCGAGATATCTTCCAAAGTCCAGCAACCAGACTCCAGAGACAGGAGCTGTAATTAAGAGCAGAACGTTGAGAAAGACAAGAAGGGGTCTTGGGGTCTCTGTCACTGAGATGCTGAGGGACCTTTGGCATGTGCCTTCCCATCTTTGTGCCTCTTCTTCCTCTAATGGCAAGTAGGGTTCATGACTCTTGCATCACAAGGGCAGTGTTTTGAGATCTGTGGGTGCCGACAAGTATGACCAGTGAGCATTATAAAGTTTTAATAAGCAAGCAGCCTGTTTGACCTTGAGTACTTGTACAAGGGTCCAGGCACAGACTCAAACATCCAGCTATTCCCATTCGGGATTTCAGATTTCAGAGGCTAGACTGAGGAGCCTTGGAGAAAAATGTCACCTTCGCATCACACACATTCTTGCTGACAACCATGAAATCAATGCATTGGCTGCAAATTAATCCCACCACGGTGTTAATCTTGTCTGCGGAGCAAACTGTAGATGGACAAGATTCTGAGGGCTGTAGAGGTTGGAGATCCCCATACGGTGGTGCTGTTGTTACGTTGCTGGTGCACAGACCTCTCGGCGTGTGGGAGCAGCCCAGACTGTTTGTTTAAAATCTCAGCAACTCCAGAGCATCAAAAATGCATTTGACATTCTTTTTCGTTATTTTGCTAATTGCTAAGCTCTTTTGGTTGTAAAAGACTTGGAGTGTGGAATTCCTGCCAGCTTCTGCTGGTGATGCCTTGTGCATCTCCGAGTTGTTTGCAGGAAAAAAAGTAGTGCATTTTCCTATGCCTACGCTTTGGAGATGGGGTGCAGCGTGGGGACAGTAGCCTGTGCTATGATCACAAAGCAGTTCTGTGCTTGCTTTGCCACCACAAAACATTTTCTTACCCACTCACATACCAAGCATTGCAATTTCCAATTGACAGATGTAGCAAAAGGTAGATTGAAACACAGGCAGAAAATGTGACTCTACTGAGATCACACAACAGGGCAACCTCAGACTGGGACCCTCAAGCACCCTGGCTGCTTCCTAGTCCGCGTCTTTTTCCTTCTATCAGGAAAATTATTTAATTGCTCTGGCTTCTATAGGAAAACACAGGGAAGAGACTGAGATTTCTGGTCAGCTGCTGCAGGTAGAAAAGGGTAGACCTGATGTCTGGGCACACCGAGCCCCTTATAGGGACAGCAGGGACAATTGCTCCTCATGTGGCAGTGGGTGCACTCAATGCATGGTCACTTATGGTCCCTTTTTGGTCCTTCTTGTCCTTATTTTGAGGCCAGTACTCATGGGTGGTATTGCTTACCCCACTTCAACACACTTAGAGAA